CGGACTAGGCTGATGCGAGCTTCTGTCTCTGTCAAGGGCAAGCGATAGACACAACGACCGGCCTATCGTTCGTGGTGCTAGGCACGCGATCTGAACCAGTGGACGGGCAATGGCCCGGCCACTCTGTCGGGAACGGAACAGAGCGGATGAAGAGAAACACACTACTAATACATCACGCAAGCAAGTCTGTGGTGGTTGGTGACCCGGTGTCGAATGATATGGGCTCTAGTGACGGTCCATCGCAGGCTTGATCCGCGAGAGCGGCCCATAGAGGATCCTCCAGCCACCACTTGCCTAGAACAGCAAGATGAACTCCCCAGCCTTTTGACTCTGCGGTCCCTCCCTTGATGCTCAATCTATGTCCTCAGGTCATTGAGGGGCAAACATGTCTTCTCCCAACAGTCACGTGCCTGTCACCAATCGAGGGAGCTCCGCACTAGTCCGGAACAGGCAGCAGAATGGTTGCTAGGGAGGAGCTGCCCGCCGCCAACCGCTGAGCTCGCAAGCTTTGGCGAGAGCTGTGCTGGGGAAGGCGCCAGCGACGGCAGCAAAAGAAAGGCGCAAGTGATAAAACCCACTTCGCGCCGCCTCACCTCCACTTCACGCTCCCACCCCGTCGTGCAGCCCAGCTCCGTGCCTACTCTACTTCCTCCTACCTACCACCCAACACGCGAAAAACTTCAACCACAGCTTTCCCCTTCCCTCCCCAAACCAAACACACAACCGACATCATGTCTGCCCAGGAGCCCACCAACAACCAGCTCGCCGAGGAGACCCCCGCCAACAAGGGCAAGGGTGTCGCCGAGACCAGCGTCGAGGACAGCGCCATGGACGAGGATGACAGCAGCTCCAGCGACGAGGAGGAGACTGTAAGTGCGCAACCGGCGCATACAACTTTCATCCTCCATTGTGATTGCATCGCTAACAGTTTGCGCCCCTGCAGACCAACCAGCCCGGTAAGACGCGACTGCCTTCTTCTCTCCACTCGTTCCATCCCTACCCCCACCATTGTGCCCCGCGCTCCTCCACAACACCGTGACTGACATGAGGTGCGCAGCCATCGAGGAAGAGGACGGCCTCGAGGAGATTGACCTGAACAACATTGTCGAGGGCGGCCGCCGCACCCGTGGCCGTGTCATCGACTGGGCCAAGGCCGCCGAGGAGAACCCTGCCCAGGACGACGAGGACGATGATGACGAGGACTTCAACGCGCCCGAGGACAAGGATTCCAAGATGGACACCGACTAAGCCTGCATCAGCCTGCTTACGGGTCCTTGAGAGGACGTTTTCGTTTTCGGCCTGAAGAAGGGAAAAGGGCAATCGGCAACACACGACGACAAGACAAAAAGTTATGGCTGGCCGGAGCGCCGGGATGATGACATGATGAATGCGATTTGGAGCTTGGACAGGAGCGTGACGGAGGATGGCGTGACGGACGAGGCACGATGCGACTTCTGGACAGGCCTCTTTCTTGCCTGGGATCCGGTCGTGGGGAATCGAGTCTTGCTGTCGCACCTCGCGCTGAGGTAGCTAAGACCCATGAATACATGTTGTGAAGGCTGCTTCCCACAATCACGGAACTTTCGCTTGCAGGGGAGCGACGCAGATGTGTTGCGCAGCGGGAGCTTGCAATTTCACAAGTGGTGGTCAGGGAGGCTGGCATCCACCCATGTGGCGGTGTGCGTCGTGGTGCAGAGGCCCATGGCCTGCGGCCAACGAACATGCAGTCCCATAACGTGATGAACATGTCTGTTACCACTCGACAAATTTGCATGGCATTCAGCGGCAGCTGCAGTAGAAGCTGTTCCTGAGATGATTGCTCCACGTTGTTGAGATTGTTTGCTCAAGGGACACATGAGGCCATCACGAGGGGACCAAGTCGAAGCAGCAATGGGCCACAACACGCCATTGGTCCATGTTCGGCCATGCCTGATTAGGGGGGGGGGCCTCAGGTCCCGTCCCTGCACACATTCGCCCCCCTCTTCGCTCCCCTTGCGCCGCCTAAACGTAACAGTGCGCTGAGTGCAGCCAGTGACGGTGACGCCACATGGGCCCGTCGAGTTTAATGAACACCTGTGCTCTATCAGCCAACTATCTATCCTTGGACAGCGGCAATCTGATCTCGACGGGGGGTCGCAAAAAGTTCAGAACCCTGTCAGCGACGGCCATCAATACGACCCTTTCTACATTCCCCCGGGAGAGCGAGAAACATCAAAGTCTCTACCTATCCTACGACTTATCACTGTCTCACGAGGCACGAAACTTGAAGCACCGCTGGGCATCACGAACGCGGATGCATCTCCCTGCGCCGCTCTGCGACCAGCATCACCACGACCTCTAGACGACGACGACATCAGCGGAGCCCGATCATCATGGCATCAAGGTCCGTCGAGCCCCCTTTCCGGCGACAGAACGCAGTGGCCTCTCTGCATCGCAGCAACGCTCGCAGCTACCCGTCGCGACCACAGCGACCCCCTTAGCTAACACGGCCCGGTTCCCAGATTCGGCCCATCCTCCCTCCACCAGCGCGACTCCCGCAGCGCCCTCTTCGAGGGCTACAACGACGGCTCCCGTCGTCCACCGAGCGCCGGTCCCAGCGGCGGCTACGGCTACGGCTATGCCGGCGGCAACAGCAACGGCGCGACATCTTCGCCTGCCTTTGGCGCGCCGGGCGGCTTCCGGTCTGCGACCCCAAACCGCAAGTACGTGGGCAACGCACTCCCCGCTTCCCAGATCCCGCCGAGAGGCGAGGAAACAGGGCGGCGCCGTCGGGCGAACAGCAAAGCTGACGTAGCAGCAAAAGGGGCCAGTACAGCGACGCCGTGCTCAACGAGCTCGAGAGCCAGAACGATGCCCAGGTCGAGGGTATCCTGGGCAAGGTCAAGATCCTGAAGGACGTATGTCCCCCCCTCCCCCCTTGCTTCACCGCCCCCCCTTGGGTCTACGAGCGTACAGCTGATTTCGTCTCGCAGATGACCCACGCCATTGGCGACGAGATTCGCGACTCCTCGGCCCTGGCGGAGAAGATGAACGACACGTTTGACTCGACGCGGCTGCGCATCCGCGGCACCATGAACAGGATGCTCGTCATGGCGCAGAAGACCGGCGTCGGCTGGAAGGTGTGGCTCGCCTTCTTTGCCGCCGTTGGCTTCCTGTTCTTCTACGTCTGGGTCTTTTAGCGGCGGGAAAACGGGAGGCGGGGGGCTTTGCATGTGTGCCTGGCTTGTGGGCTGCCGACTACGGAGTTTCTGGGACGGTCAAGGGTGCACCATTGGCGTTTGGCGTGAGCTTTGGAAAAAGCAGACTGCATTTGTTTTCTCTGCGGAGGCTTGTAATGTGTGCAGTGCATAATACACGGCTTGAGGGATCTCTATTGAATGATAGAGGGGGCGAGTGTTGATGGCTGTCTTACCTGTGTATGGCAAATGGCAATGGCAGTTGATCAGTAGGCATACGTCCTACCATGGGCGTGGCAGTGCTCTGGTCATACTGTGACACCTTGATGCTGGCATGTAACCTCACCCTGTGGCCTGCGTCGTTGGCTTCTAAGTCTTCCGGGACGACCTGGTAAATGATTGCAGGGATCAAATTGTGTCCTCGACCTTTGCCAGCCTTACGTGTGGCCCAGCAATACTCGCGCTACAAGAGCCTCGGCAACGGCTAGGTAGCAGCATGGGCCAACGCAAGGATCTTTGTGACGTTGTGATCCCCTGCTCTTTCGCGATGGTCTTTTGAAAGCCTGTCAGTCCCCTTTCCGAGGTATTCTTGAGTGCTGCGTTGGAGAGCTGCCCGCCTGGCGGATTCAACGATAGCTCCCGAGTGATCGTCAGAGTAGACATATTCATAAAGCTTCGAGCTGCCGTCTTTGGAGAAATTCGTGCCTGAATACTAGGGTGTCTGTCCCGAGATCTTCTTGTCATCGGCCCGCGTTCGCAATCGCCACGCATACCAGATTTCAAGTGCCACTTGACACTACGTCGACTACACCACTACACGGATGAGACCAGCGTGAGAAGTTCAAGTCGTGGTGAAGCGACCTTCGTGGTGACTCGTCCATTCTGTGACCGCGGTAGAACTTGGGTCACGGTACTGGAAGATATCAGCGCGTCGGGTACAGATGTGTCGACCACCTCGTCAGCTTGCGAAAAAGCGGTCCTTGAGTATGCGGTCGCCGGATATTTTGGCCAAAACTTGATCAGCAATTGATTTACGATGCTTAAAAGCACACCTTAGGCGCATTTGATTTCCGTTTCACCGACTTGGGAACTTCGATACTCAACGAGGTCATCCCCAGCTAGGTATTCAACGTGAGAGAAGAGGAACCCCTTTGCGGCGCCGGCAACAACGAGTTTCGCCCTCTTCACGCCCAACAGAGGAGATAAGACGACAAGAGTAGGTATACCGCGTCAGAATCGAACAAGGCTTGTGTATCATGCCCTCGGAGTCGTAACAGGGAGCTTCGGCAGGACTTTTTCCCGTCGTTCACCTTTCATGGTAGGCAACGAACTGACAGGGAAACTATCAGGTCAATACGACCTTGAACACTTTGCTGACGTTGGGTCGCCGTTTCTGATAGTGTTCTGCTTGCTCGCCATGCCACCAGATGAACAATCAGAGTGCAAAAAAGAGCTCCGCCAGGATAGAGCCCGTTGAGGCATCTGGGACCCTCGTCACGGATGGGGCAATTTGCATCACGATAAACACCACGGCACAACCCACTCAACAACCAGACAGGACACATGACAGATTGAATCATGTCCAAGGATGCTTTCGCTCTCCACATTCTCGGTTTCATCCCTGGCAGTGGCACAGGTAATGCTTCCTACTCATTAATCGTAAAACAGACCCGTTCACCGGCTGCGATGGCCTCAATCGTTTGCGTAGCCCAACCCCCCGTACCATGCTGATGCGCCCCTTCATTGAACGCCAGATTCAAGACGCGCTGCCGTCGTGCCTCAAGCGCGGCACCGCTCCAAAACAACGCCCCAACCTTGTTCATGCTACCGCTGCGGCGCAGCCCTCGCCTGCGGACTGCTCCCCAGCATACTGCTGTCCCCTCCTGACAAAAGACTGCTGAGGTCCATATCCTGCCGCGGATGGGTCTGACCGCGCCCCTGCATCGTCGGACTTGTCGGCGGCCGCAACACGCCAGCCCCGAGGGACGACCGCGGTGCGAAACCCACGTCCTCCTCGTCCTCGGCGTCACTGCTGTCCGAGGGCAGGCTGCTGCTTAGCTCAGCCTCGGTGTCCGTGTGCTCGTAGACGCCGCTGAGCTCGGCTCCGTCAGCCATGCTGCCATCGAGGTCGGCGTCCATATCGAGGTCCTCGTCGGCGACCTGACCATGCACAGGCAGGAAGCTGTCGCCCTCGTCCTCGAGCAGCAGCTGTCCCTCCGTTTCGGCCTCTATTTCTTCCTCGTCGGCCCCGTATACATCGTCGTCGCCGCCGCGCGCCATGCGCATCCGCGCCTGCACGAGCTCAGCCCTGCGCTCCTCCCGCAGCGCCTCCCCCCTGCCAGGCCCGTCCCCGGCCCTCGACCCATCGTCGTCATCGTCGTCGCCATCCCCGCTCGATGCGCTGCTATTATCCGAGTCGGACGCTTCATCCGTCGACGACTCGCCAATGGCACTTAGCTCCATGCCCACGGCATCGGCATCAGGAATCTCCTCGTCGAGATCCCGCGCGCCGTCGCCCAGGTCCTCCATGTCGGCTGTCGCATCATCCTCCTCGGGGCCGCCGCCTTCCTCGGCCTCGGCGACCTCCTGCTGCAGCTGCTCGCGGCGCACGGCCTCGGCGTGCTCCTCGGCCTCGCGCCGCTCCTCGCGCATCTGGTGCAGCGTCTTGGGCACGCCGGGGGGCTTGAGCCATGTGCTGCCAAAGTTCTGCACGTTGAGGCGGCGACGGTCGAGGTTGTGCTCGTCGGCGCGCAGGCGCGCGAGCTGGGACCGCTCGAGGAGCAGCTGGCCGGCGCGGCGCGACGAGGACTGCTGGGCGGCATGATCGGGGTGCGGGTTCGTGTGATCGACAGATGGGTCGGGCGCAGGTGGGTGGTGCTGCGGGTTTCGGGAGGACGAGTACCAGACCGAGTGTGACTAGGGAGAGAAAAAGTCAGTCAAAGGTCATCACATCACACCGCAGGTCAAAGTTTGCAACGTGCAGGAGACCAGGCCCTCACGACGGAGGAGAGGGGAGGCAGAGAGCGGGGGGGTTCGAGCGTACGTCTCGAGGAGTCAGGTCTGGGAGGAGACCGAACATGATGGTGTGTGTCTCATGGGCTGAAAGGCCGGCGAGGAGGGGTTGGGATGTGTCCTATTCGTTGCAGGCCGTCAGAAGGGAAGGTTAGAGTTTGTTCGTTTTTCCTCTTCTCGCCCTTCTCGCCCTTCCGCCTTCAGTGGGAGGTCGTCGTTGAACTGATGCGTAAGAGAAACCAGGGATGTCTGGGATGTCGGGGGTTGGAGAAAATGGACGTTGTCACGTTCGGATAGTCACAGAAACGTAATGGGGCAGGAAGTAAACAAGTCACGACATGTTCGTAGTGGCTTTGGCTTGGCAGTTGCTACCCATGCAGCTGCAGGGCCCAAGCTTCCTGCTTCCTGCTTGCTGCTTACTGCTTGCTGCTTACTGCTTGCTGCCTGTCCTCCCCTTCTACCCCACATTCAGTGACAGCCGCGCGCATCCTAGCGCTTGCGGCGCCTGCCAATGCTTGTTTCCAGATTCGCGAGCCCCCTTCCCCTTCCCCTGGGCCCCTTGCCCCTCTCCTCTCCGCCCCTTCCTCACCAACAACGAACGCCATCTCACAATGAATACTCTTTCCAGAACGCCTTTTGCCCCGTCCACACAAGTCAGGTAAGGCGACGCTCCAATCGCCTCTCCTAGCTGACCTTTTCACCACCTGAGCCCTCCCAGTGTTCCGAGAGGAGCCCCGGTAGGCGAGTGCCGGCCACGACTGCACTCACCAACCACGACCCAGCTCAATCTGCCGAGTCCTGACTTGTCGTGGTCGCATGACATTCGGCGCACGACCATGGACCGTGATTTCGTAAATTCATCAAGATATCTACAAATCCGTTACCCCCTCATTTCGTAACTCAATCAAACTCTCCCCATAGTCTCCCCCTGTTCCAGAACACCTAGCGATTTCCGCCTCCCTGTAGCCTACTCACGCGACCATCCTACTGCAACATGTTCCGTGCCGCAACCCTCTTCAGGCGCCCGGAGAGGGCGGCGGAGAGACAAGGCAAGGCAAGGAAACGGGTGGTTTACCTTTTCGGCGGAGGTCTGGGCCAGCATGGATAATGCGACATTTTTTCTGAGGTAATGGAAACGGGGTTCCCGCCCGGGGAAATTCAGCTCTGCCTCTTTACCGCCCCGCCCGCTCGTCTCCTTCCGCGCAAACTGGCCTCAGCAGAGAAGGGGGGGGGGGGGGGTCTTGTCCGCCACTGTGGCCCGCGACGCTCCCGCCGTGGTCGCATCGGGAGTTTCCGGGTGCAGCTGACATTGACCGGCGCGCGCATTGGTTGGCGTCGCCAAACAAGACACCTCTCTGACTGTTCCTGTCCACCTGCTGCCTGGCAGAAAAATCTCTCAATGTCGCGCCGGCGGAAACGAGGATCTCGCTGACTCGAGTGGGTTTTTCCCATTTTCCTGCGTCGGTCTGGGCTCAGATGAACGCGAGGACGAGGGCGAGAGCCAGGGCGGTGTCACAGTTGCGCCCCCCCCCCCTTCTTTCTGGTCTTGGCCGCTCGGCCGATGTCGGGTGGTCCCAGTGCCTCTCTCTCGGGCTCCCCTCGGCCGTGTCACGCCTGATGCTCCTGTGTCCCATACGGCGACGTCCTCGTCCTCGCCGCTTCGACTCCGCAGTTAAGGCCAAGCGGAGATGGGGAATTTCGACCAGGAACGAATCATATATTTATAATACCTCCTGCGTCAGGTCAGCCGCGGCATCGGCTATATCCTAGTGCTGCTGGCAGCCCTGGTCACCATCACGAAACCCCCTAATTCGTGCTTGTGGACGTGATGATCAGGGAACGTCCATTGGAATGTCTCCCCCCCCGCCGCCGCCGTTCGCCTTTGAACACCCCTTCCCCTCTTTCTCACCCCGATTTCCACGGACACGTTCTAGAGGATCAGATCGCTGACCGGAGGAGCGTCCGTCAATCAATCTGTCGAAACCCCTCCTTCACACACCAAGAAAGTCTGTTGTGATACCGTGCACCGCCAACCCGCCTGTTGAGTTTGAGTCGTTGAATAATTCTGGTATGCACTCGTGTTCGGTGACGTAGGATATGCCGTCCCTCGACACCGTTGACGCGGTCAGTGATGGATTTTGACATGGGCTAGCAACATCGTCGTCCTCTCAGAGGCCGAGACATGCATCAGTGCGGCGCCGCCAGCAAGGAAGCCGTCCCGCCGCAAGATCTCCCAGATTGCCAGAACTGGAACGTGCCGCGGGGGGGTTACCAGCAGAAGCGCATGCGACTAGTAAGAACCCCCCTCTGCTGGATCCATCTTCCAGCATGTGCATGCGTGGAGGGTCAGTGTCGTTTTGGTTGGTCTGAGATAAGGCGAGAGATGGCGCCGATGTGACAAGTGATTGGTCGACTCTTCTTATTTCTCCATGTCGATGTATTGACAACGCGATAGACGGGGCCATAGCCCAACCTCCAGAACAGCTTCAACTGGAACGAGATGTGCCGAATCGCAGCAGTGCCAATGTAAACCGAGCCAGCCTCTATTGGCCAGCACTCAGATTCGCCCGAGAGGCACCGTCGCGATTGGGCAACGATCGATGGCGGCGCGCGACAAGGCATTGAGGGTTTTTTGGTCTTTCTATCGCGCTGGCTACGGCTCTGGCGCTCAGAAGAAAAAGGCCCCTTCCCTCCGTTCGCCATGGGTGTTCTGCTGTCCACGGATTCCAATTCTGGCGTTGAAACCCCATAGCCCCTCATTCGCAATGCCCCTCCATGCACCACATATATGGCCTGACGGGCGAACCATCCTAGACGACCTTGCGGTGTCGCGCAGAAGAAAGGTGGGACAAAAAGGCAACAATAGCGACACAACGAAGTGATACGAGGCTGCTGTCTGTTCACCATTGAATGGTCATCCAAGGTATTCTCCGGACCTTACTTTCATGAAGAGACGGAAGCACCATCTTTTTGTGATTGTGTCTCTGTCGCTCCGATAATTGTGGTGTGGGCGATCAAATTATCGACGAGCACATGTCCGCGGCACATGTTCGATCAGCCCTCCCTCCTGATGGTGTGGACGAACCACTGACTACAATGGGTTCGGCTGTTGTCCCGGGCTGAAGGGTTGCAGTGGATGACGGCGCTGCGTCAATAAAAAAAAGGGTCCCGTACCAGGAGGCTGGAGGGGTTCGATGGGGGTGCACCACCTGCAAGACGCCAACAGCACGTTGCAGCTTTGGCCGGCGGGCAGGACCATGGAGGCGACATCGGCCGAGGCGACCTCTTTGAAATCGGATTTGGTGATTGGTGGGAGCTCTGGGGTCTCTCGACGATGACATTTTTTGTTTCGCGAGATGCGACGGATGCGCAGGGATCTCCCCTCGAGCACGAGCCAGCCACCGAGACCTTCATATCCTTGCAGCTCTGCATGCGGATGTGGGGTGCATCTTGGGGACGGGGGTCCTGGCCTACGGGGCGATTGGGCAATTGGGGTCGCATGTCTGGCCTGAACAGATGTGTGGTGTTGAAATTTGTCTGACACCAAATATTTTACTGCGCCAAAGACATTCATGCCAGTCGATTCGCTCGAGGGTCCGTCAAGGCTTCGACAGGCTCCGAAATGGCCAGTCTCTGGTTGGATGGCGGAGGAGACCGCGGCCACTTGTTACTGGAGCTTCTTTCTCCCATGGAGAATACCCCGAACGGCGCCACCAGGGCGGGGATCGTTGGGCCATGTCCTTCATGAGTAGAGGGAGGGAGAGACTCAGACATGGCTGCGCTTCAAGGTGCACCGTTGGCTCTCGACAGGCCCGTCGTCATTCCCAGAGCTGGTCAGCCGCTGGCTGAGGAAGAGGCTGCTGCTGAGGCTGCATAACATGACAGGGCGCCGGCACTCACCGCCCAGCCAGACGAGGCCAAGAAACAGCAAGCGCTGTGTTGCGACGCCGGTGAGTTGGCTGCTCAGCGACCAGACCGAAGGCTACTTATGGACCAGGGTCACAATGGCCCGAGATGTACGTGTTGAGCAACGTAGGCTGTGGTGAAGTGGACCGATGAGACAGCATGTTGAACGAGGGATGCGGTGTTTTCTGACACGTGCTTTGCCCCTCCTGGCTTTGTCCGAAGGCCGTAGCCCTTCAGCCAGATTCGAATGTCAGCGACAAGCACAGTGACGATTTCTGCTTTCAGATTTAGTTCCCCCAATACCTTTTCTATACGGTACTGGTGTCGACAGGCCGTTGGCAACCTATTTCCGATCTACCTCTGGGAGCACACCGAGGAAGGTGATGAGGGTAAGGTAGAGTTGAATGCCAAGCTGCCGTTGTCTCTCGCTCCAGAGGCGGAGGAGGAAGG